TGTTTTTGTGTGGTGGGGGTGTGACTTCACTTGCTTCSCTGCTTCGCTGAGAGAAGGAGGTCTGCCCGCTGGCTGCTCCGGGGAGAGCTGGCCTGCCCTTTTTCTGTGGAGACCAGCATCTCTGCTCATTGGGTTCCTGCTTGCTGCACGGTGGTTTTCTCTCCTGTGCCTTGYCGGGAACCCCTGCAATTCCAGCTTCAGGGGTGAGCTCTGCTCCATCCCGTCTCGCAGCCGCGGGATTTCTGCTCGTCTCTTTGCCGTCCTGGGTTTCTTGTTGTCCAGAGGAGCACTGAGATCGGTGTTTCCCCTGTGAGTTTTGCAGAGAAACTTTTCTCCATCCACCTCTGCCAATTTGTGTCAATCATTGGCAACGCRGGAGATCTGAGCCAGCCGGGACCCACGCCACAGCGTCCCCTGCAGCCGCTGGGGAATTGTCACACCCGCCCTGCCCAGCCAGGAGCCAACAGCATCCATGCCGACTGGGACTGTAACTGCACCAAAGGGGAGGGTGTATCTCTGTAAGGCTGTCACTGAGTTTGGGACTGGGCTGGTTGTTGCTATTGTTATTGTTACTTGTTTCACCTTGTTATACATATTAGTAAAAACAGTTATTCCCTTTTACCCATATTCTTGCCTGAAAGCCCGTGATTTTTCAAAGCTATRATAATTCGGAGGGAAGGGGGGTCATATCCACCACTCCAAGGGGGGTCCCTGCCTTCATTGGTAAACACCTGTCTTTTAAACCAAGACACTGTTGTACCATCTCAGCTTCCTGATGTGCCGTGAATGCATGCTGTTGCACCAACAAAAYGTCATCCATGTAATGGTAAATCATAGTGTCTTTCCAAGCCTCTCGAAGGGGTCGCAACGTGTTATTGACTAACAACTGGCACAGCGTGGGACTATTTTTGCCTTGTGGCAACATAGTCKATTCAAAYTGCTGAGCTGGAGCCCATCGGTTTGTGGATGGCAAGGTGAATGCAAACCACTGGGTATCTGCGGGGTGTGATTTAATGGCMAAAAAGCWGTCCTTTAAGTCAATGATCAACAGGTGCTATCCTCTCGGGAGCATTGCCAGATTTTGAAGTCCCAGCTGTAAAGCTCCCATAGCTTGCATTTGAGAGTTAACAGYGCGCAAATCATGCAGTAAACRATATTTCCCAGATTTTTTTTTGATGACAAAAATCGGGGTATTCCAAGGTCTCGTGGATGGTTGCAAATGACCCTGTTGTAACTGTTCCATGACYAGGGCTTGTGCCTGTTCCAGACTTTCCTTTTTCAGCGGCCACTGCTCGACCCACATGGGTGCTTCTGTCAGCCATGTCAGCTGAATCGGGAAAGTCCATTCTACAGTGACCGCTCCTAAAAAGGTTTGTCTGTCAACATGACTCCCAGCTGGTCAAGCAGATCTCGGCCAATCAAGGCATTGACGCGTGCTGGAAGTGGCATAATAGTCATGTAGATGGATGCAGTGCRGCCATCAACAGTCACCTGCACTCGGCTGGTACTGCGATGAACAGGGGCTGCACCTGCAACCCCTTCCACCCCATTTAAGGTTGGCTGACAAGTCCATTGAGGTGGCCATTTTTTTGGAGCACATGACAGTTATGTCAGCACCTGTATCCAGTAAAGCACTCATCTGTACATGATCATTGCCAATACTCCATGTAGAATTTATCATGGGTCTGTGATTCATAGGAATGGTGAGCAACGTGAGATCTCCAGCAGAATCAAAACCTGCTTCGCCCTGTTCAATCTTGCCTGTGGATCGCATTTCTGCAGTCAGCTGTGGCACAGGGACCAGTTGAGCAATCCTATTGCCCCTTGTGATACGAATGGGGGGGAACATAGTCTGTGCCCCAATACAGATTTCTCCAGTATAATCTGCATCAATAGCTCTGGGAAAAAATAAATARTCCTTTAATTCCACTGGATAAGCAACCGAATAATAATGCTCATTGAGTTTGACCATTAATAACGACAGGTCCTTTCATAGCCGTGGGACTCTTTGTTGGCCGCTGATCAATCACAGTAATATCTATTGCGGTTGCCAAATCCAAGCCGAGACTCCCCCTGGTGGCAGGCCGCAGACCGGAGGTGGGTTGCAGGCACTGACTGGCGGGGATCTGGCAGGGGGCATTAACTGCGCGGGCGCCACTACTGTTGTCCAYGCRYGGTGGCCAGTTGCGCTCTGCCATCCATTTCCTGACCATCTGCAGGCCTCAGTACTGTGATTGTTCTTGTTGCAGCGAGTACACCACACTGTCTTATTGCACTGCTTTTGCATATATCCTTCTTCACCGCAGTGAAAACATCGGGGGGGCCCTGCCATTTCTCTTCTGCTGCACTGGGGCCGAGGGACTGGATTGCAGAGGAGCCAAAGCTGCAAATGCTTGCATCTGAGCCTGCACTATTTCTCTACTAATTTCTCTCACCGCCTCTACTAACATTGCCTGTGGTCCTACTGGCATCCTACTCATTCAGTCTAACATTGCCTCGATACCTGTGTCCCCTGGGAGACTAAATAGCCTTAGTTGCTGCTTTACAATTTTCCATCACACACTGACGCAGCAACACACCTTTCATCCAGTCTGGCACATCAGATAAATTGATGGCCACTGTAACCTTATCTACAAAGGAGGCAAAAGGCTTGTCCCTCCCCTGCTTGATGGAYATGTAAGAAGGTGTTGGGGGTGAAGTGCAGACCATATTGATTGCCTGGCGAGCTAGGCTCATTGCCTCCAAACAGATGCCAGGGCCTGTCTGCAGCTGCATATCAACTGAGGCAAACGGCCCYGTTCCCATTAATTGCTCTACAGTTACATCTGCCACACAATCATTCTGATCCCTAGGCGTACGAGTGGAAATCTCGCACAGTCTATTCCAGTGAGCTTGCCATAACAACTGCTGCGACTGCGTCATTATCATCCACATGATTCCCTTAATTCCCTTCCCCTGGGCATAACACCCCACTGCCCCAGATGTGGTTTATAATTTGTCTAGTAGTTTCACGATGCAGTCCAGATTCGTTAACCATACTCCTTAGCTGCATTAGCAACTTCCAATCTATCGGTCGATGTTCCCCCTGCATATTTCCTGCCCCATCTACCATGTATATGACGGGAAAGGCTTGTAACTCATGTATATCCTCCACCAGATCATACTGCCAATATTCCAACGCCTGCCTGGTCACCTCCCCCMAATCAATAACATGACTTCGCACAGTCTTCCCCTTTTTATCACTCTGGGTACATTCTCTCCCTGTCCCTTTGCCTTCCTGACTGACTCCCTCTGGGACCTCTGCCTCCCCCTTAGAATTCGCCATCTCTTCCTTCTCCTGCATAGGAGGGGCAATTGGTTCGACATTCCCTCTGTCCTGGGGGTCATCAATCTTTCTGCGAACAACRGGTACAGGAACCTCAGTGGGGGGAACAGAGGTATAATCTGCTCCTATAGTTAGCATTCCAGGGGCAGGGTCACTAGTTCCCAATTTCTCGGTGGCTACTGCAGCCATGTGTTCCTCAGACTTATACTGTTGTAAACGATTTATAACCTCCCTCCATGATTTCATAAGTCTTTTAGCGGCTTTATCCTTATCTATAACTGCATCCCACAAATAGTCTCCAAACTTACACCACTCCTGTTCCTCAAATAGGGTATTCGGATCCTGAAAACAACCCTTTAATTTCCCCAACGTCACTAAACCTGTCAATTGCTTAATGCAATCAGCTCCTATCCCCTGCTTTTMTAAAAACCATTGCAATAAATCAAGGGCTACCTCTTGATCCATTTCAGCCGGCATCATCAACGGGATCCATCTCCCAAATGCAGCCTTGTCAGGGTCAGCCCCAGTGGGCAGCGGACCCCTCTCGGACGGCCCAAGCATTTGGACCCCAACTTTTCAAAGTCTGGTGATCTGCGCTTCCCAGCACTGCTACCGGGGCTTTTCTGCTCCCACCACACTCCTGGATCTAAGTGTCCCGTGGTGTTGGGAGTCACCATTTGCCGTGCGGGGGAAGAATGTGAGCACTCAATGTGAGTGATAAAGCAAACTTTGACTTTATTYGTGTCACACACTGGTTATATATGCTCATAGTTAATTATGTCTACTTGCTACAGTATTATTGGCTAAGCTCAGAAAGTTACATTTTCATYTCACTCCCCTCTTCGGTTCTTGTTTTCACAGATCTCTCTCATTGTTTTCACTGCAAGCTGCTTTCTTACTACTTTCCCAACAGCCCAAGGACACACAGCCCTTGGCAATTATCCTTCTCAGCATTCCTTGCATTTCTTGGGGTCTAGGCAGCTATCATCTTAGACTTTGTTTTGCTCACACGAGGCCTGCAATGATCTATGGCCCTGCCATTCTTCAACAGCTAATCAGGCGGCTGCTTCTGTTAGTGTAGTCTGTTTCCATTTGGATGCTCTTCTGACATACCTATGTTAGTGTAACTTCTTCATAAGAAGCTTATAGGTTTGGAATGTCATGTTTTTTGAAATGTATGACTTCACTGTGCAAGAGGTGGAGACCTAAACACTGCTTCCAAATGAAGAGAGTRCACATTTATTTCTGGTTGTGTTTGCTTAACATCGGAAAGATTTTTTTTTCTCTGTGTATTAGAATGTGCAGTACACATGTGTTTTGCGTGTGTGTGTTATCTTCCTGAACTTTTTCCACCCTTAAGAAGCTTAAAGTAAAAATCGCCCTGTCCCTAATCCCTGATGTTAGAAACTAGAGGAAGGAGTGCTRTAGACAGATCCACAAGTTTGACTCAGCCATTTAAAGGATAGATAAAAARGCATTTAAAAATACGATGTTCTCTAAACTCATTATTTCATTCAGACACACTCTATATGAAAACTGAAACTAATGTTTGAATGAGCATCTTGAATATTCTATTGAAACTTAGTTATCCACTAGTTGGCTTTTGATTGCACTAATTCCTTTTATAAAAGAGTGTGGAGGTATCTAACTCATCTCTTTCTTCTTCCCTTCCTAGTTAATGGTCTAATGGCGCTTGGATTCGCAGGTGAGTTTTACTTCAAAAATTCAGACTTCTCTTTCTGTTTTGTTAATGGCTGCGATTTGAGAAACACTTCCATCCTATCTCAATTAGCCAACTGTCATGCATTTTTTACAACTCATCTTGCCCACTGGCTGTATGAAAAGAGAGTGTTGCAATGTTTTGTAAAGGTCATTCTCAATAGTGATGGTGAAACTAGAATTATCCATGATTTTGAACTCATTTCGTCAGGCATTTAGACAGAAACTCTTGTGTTATCAGATTGCTGTCAAATCACTCTGATAAGAATTTTTTTCCTATGACCCTGTAAAATATTRAAGAAGTTTAAAGACAGACAACCAAAAATACCAAGCCATGGAAAATCCATTTAAACACTTGCTGAGAAAGGGCTGGAGTAAACTGTAAGCACATTTTACACTATTACATGATGTAGTGGAAGAAAATCTTGAACTCTGTTGGATTTGTTTATAAATCAAATGATAGCTGGCTGTTTAGAATATCCTGCCAGCAAAAGCAGTTTTGCGTAACTTTTGTCAAAGCAATAGTGCAGGATTTACGTTGCCAGCTATGTAATTTTCATATCTGGTTTTGAATTTTGCACAATTCTCTCTAGGCTTCATTTGCAGATCTAGCTGTGGAAAGTAAAACTGGGTCCATGAGTACTTCTCTTCCCTTCTCATCAAATTCATGCATGTCAACCTCGGTTCATCTGGCAATGTGTTTGTCTGTTACCACACGAAATTAGGACCACCAACTCTTTTCAGCACTGATAGGATCCTGCTTTCAAAGTAACTAATAGAAGCAAAAGAAATACATCCTCTCCCTGGTGTAAATAGGTTTTCAGTGAACATTTTTATTACAAGTGAATGGTCTGTTCTCCTTGGCTTTATTCTTAAAAAAAAGATGTTCCTCCAGAGTTCGGAGAATTCCCTGATATACCAGTTTGTTAGGATTGCAGTAAATACCTATCTCAGATTTGAGGTGCTGTGAAGAAAAGAAATTACGCTTTTTTTTTTTTTTTCTGACAAATTTAATTCAGGCATTTATATTAAATATGTTTATAAACGTATATTTACTGTTTATAAACAGTATAAATTAGGTAATTTTTAATGTTAATACATTTTATATGCAGAAGAATGGTCAAGATAGAAGTATCTGTAGAGCTAAAGCAAGACATGTTTAATGGCTTGATCAAAACAAAACRTTTCAGGCTTATCGAAATCAAATACATTAGTCCAAACGGATTTTTTTCAGAATTTCAATTTTATAAGAAATATCAACATACTATCTTTGTATTCCAATGCAGGCAAGAACTAGATGAGAAAAACATTTTACTTTGACWAAATATTGTGGAGTTGCCTTTATTTATTGAAAAAGTTACCAGGTTGCTCAAGTCAAGGTTAACTCTTTTTGTGCAAGTAGCTGTATGCTGTAATTTCAACACTTGATAATTGTAGATAATTCATAGAATTATAGAATTGTATATGTTGGAAAAGACCTCTATGATCATTGAATCCAGTTGTTACCCCAACACTGCCAAGTCTACCACTAAAACATGTCCCTAAGTTCCACGTCTCCACACCTTTTAAATACCTCCAGGGGTTGTGGCTCAACCACTTTCCTGGGCATCCTGTTCCACTCCTTTTGGTGAAGAAATTTTCCTAATATCCATTCTAAATCTCCTTTGGCACAACTTTAGGGTGTTTTGTTACTTGGGAGAAGAGACCAAACCCCACCTGCTACATCCTCCTTTCAGGAAGTTGCGGAGAGTGATATGGTCTCCCCCGAGCCTCCTTTTCTCCAGGCTAAACAACCCCAGCTCCCTCAGCCACTCCTCACAGGACTTGATCTCTAGACAATTCCTTTAGTGGATATACTAAAGAAAAGCCTGTGGTTGTGGAAATTCACACCTTTAGCTGGCAAGACATACAAAAGTTTGTTTGAATGTTGTTAAAGTAATTCCACAGTAATACAGTTAGTTGAATGGGATGCATCTATGTAAGCTTGAAAAGTGCTTTCTACACTGAAATGTGTGATTGGGAGACCCAGTTAGCTTTTAACTAAAAATGCAGATGGGCAGTAATAAGTTAGTATAAGTATAGGTAAGTAAGATTAGAAAAGTGGTTATATAGGTTCCTCTATGCTAGGCTTAAAAGGCAACACTATGTATGGTAACCTTTAGTTTTTTATACTATATTTTTAATATATTTATGCAAAGATGTATTTTATCTATTTTCTGAAATTGCCTAGAAAATTAAATGCTAAACTAATGAGAAGGTAAGTGGCAAGCTGAACTGGGTGAACAAATTTGAGTGATGTGTTTGTGCTTCTATTTCAGTGTTTGTGATTAAAGGTGCTTCTGATGTTTCCTAGGTGCACGTCAACAGACTGAGCTCTGCAATGAGTCTCTTATGTTAGAAAAGTTGCCTGCCTGTGGGAAATCTTTTGAAGAGATGATGAAGAAAGTGGACTCAAAAAAGTGGTGCAACCTGACAGAATTTATCATGTAAGAGTTAGTTTTGATTTTAATAGTTCTCCCCTAATGCGTATACAATATTTTTGTTCCAKAAAATTGAAAACCTCCTGTATTTTGTTGCTGCTTGCAGACTGCTAAGTTGTAGCTCTTAAGCTCCAGCAGTAAGGCCATGTGCACACAAAGACACCCAGCTCTTAACTCAAAGAGTATGCAAAATAGTCCACTTTAATAAAAACCAGCCAATGGGCTAAATAATACTAGCTGCTGTTACATTTACATCAGACAGTTGTGTTTACATTTAATCTATATTTCTGTACATTTTAGGTAAAGGTTCTCTAAGTATTTTTTTTTTTTTCTGTGAAACCACTAAAGCAATAATGCTTTTAGGATCATGCAGTTCTGTTTTCTCTCTTGACAGCAGTGAGGTTCCTGCCTCTGATTTTCTTTATTTTCAGTAAGATGACACTGTTTCAGAAATTCACCTCATGTGAAATTACCTTAAACAAATTTAAAATGATTTGTCCTATTGAACCTGTTGTCACTTGTTTCTTTGCCTGTGAGATAACGTGGGGAGAGTGAGCACCACCCGTTCTGTTTGGATGTCTAAAACTCTGCAAGATTAACAATAGTGAGGGTGGCATTGTTATTCTCTAAATCTCTTTTCCTCTTCTGTAGTTTCTGGAGATATTTCAACATCTCTCTATAATGCTACACCCTTCAAATTCTGATCTGGAGGAAACTCACAGGGATTGTGAAATTGGTGCCTTTTTTGGCTTTGTGGAGRATCTGCTTCTTAGATCATGTCTGTTCATGCATAATGCCTGAATTTTGGAAGCACTGAGTACCCTCTACACCAGCTGAAATCAGAGGAAACTGCAGGTATTCAGCACTTGAGAAAACACGACTCGAGTGAACTAGAGCTGGTGTTGTACCAGCCAGCCTGAAGTGGAGCATCTTCCTGCGTTTGAAACTGCGCTGGTGCTGTTTCTGGAGGCTGCTCTGCTGGCAGAGTAGCCCCAAACCAACTGTCACCACACCTGTTAAAGTGCCACTGAGCCCTAGAAATGTTCTTGTCTCATAGGATAATTGGTCTTGTCTCCTGTTTAATGTGTGTCATGTGATGCAAGGTTTTAACTAGCTGGTCACCGACAGGCTCGACAGATGTTGGGCTGCAGTGCTGTGTTGCAGATGCTCCCTATGGAACCCTTCCTGCTGACACCTGTGTTGAAATGTCTTATCTGTTGATCATGGTTCATAATCTGGCAGCATATTAACAATCTAGATGCTATTCCTTCTTAGAACATTTATTTGCACAACWAGATGTCTTCAGAATCTTGCAATCTTATGACACTGGAGTGAAAGATGCACTTATGTAGCTCTGTCCTGCTGTGGGGAAGAGCAAGAGAAGGTTCGCTCTTCTAAACCAGCTTGCAAAAATTGTACTCAAATCTGACGAGAAGTGTATGTATACAAAGAAAAAGAAAATCCTTGCAATGCTAGTACTGCAAAATTTATGTAATTAAGATCTGTAGTTTATGAAGCAATAAATTTAATTTTATAACTCATCTAGGTACAAGATGTTTTATTTATTTTGAAGGAAGCACTGTAATTTTGCTCCATTTTATCTTTATTATTATTGTATTATAATCACAAGAGTTTTTTGCTGATTTGTATTGATAAGTGGCCTCAACTAATGGGATTACTTGCAGCAGATAAAAGTACCTGTAGGAGCCAAAATATTAGGCAGTGCCTTTATTAATGCAGGTGGAAAAACAGGCAGCTTTTTGCAAGACTTGCACTAAATTTTTTTCAGTAATTTATATATTTATATTTGGTGCAAGAATTTTTCAAGGTTTGGAGGTGACTGAAGTCTCTGAGTTTTCCTGATTTTTCATTAGAGTTAAGAATCCACCTTGATTTTACCTTTTCCAGTTGYGCTCACCCTTTGGTGTCATTTTCATTCCCTGTACAAGAAAATTTTTCTGAAGAAGCTGGTCAGTCAGATTTTGCTCATTTTTCCTCAGAGGTAGTCCCAGAAGAATTCAAGGCTCTTACAGGAGAAAAATATTTTAAATTTTTACATAATAAAATTTTTGAAAAACCTTTTTTTTTTATGTTTCCAAGTTCTACTTTAGAAGAGAGTAGTAGGTGGAATTTGTTTTGAAATTTATCTCCTGAATCAAGGATTAATCAAGCATTGTAAACCTGATTACAAACTTACCATGAGGATTCATTGTGCTGAAGTGGCAGCAGATGTGCATGTACTTTTAAGATTTTCACTCCTTTGAGAATAGCCATTGTTTTTTGATATCATGCTTTGTATAAGAAGCATATGGAATCACAGACTGGATTGGAAGTGACCTTAAAGATCCTCTAGTTCCCACTGCCCTGCCATAGGCAGGGACATATACAGGCATTAATTTATTCCAGCTCATTGGAGGAGCCCCGACAGATGGGACAGAAACACTTCTTATTCTGAAGTAATCTGACAAATTTATGAAAACCTGTTATATCTAGCCATGGGCACTTAAAATTCATATATTTAAACTTGGTAGTATTAGTTTGTGCTGATTTTTTATCTAGCCTCCAACAGTAACAATTAATTCACCTGGATCAGATAGTGGGTTTAAACTGTGAGTTTTGAATAAAAGGAACTATTTCTTCATGCAGTAATTTCTGAATGGTGCTTTTCACTTGGAAAGATTTTGGGTGTTGAAGATGTTGAAATGTAACAGTTAACACAAATCTGCTTATTTGCTAAAATCCTTGTTTCATGGAGGAGTTTTAGCTCTTCAATATAAATGGCTGTCCTTTGGTTGTGGGATTGTAAATAGCAACTATCTGTAGTGCTTTACTGTTTGGCCAAACATTTGTGAGAGATATTGCAGTGACTCCAATTTRCTGTGACTTAATTAAACTTAAGATTTTCTGGCAGCTCTGACATACTTAACAAACTCATGTTCTTTAAAAAGAAGCCTTTTCACTGACTTTGAACAGACGAGGCTCCTGTATGTGGCAGCTGGTACTGCAAACCAATATGAGAGTTTAGCCTCCACAGCTGATATTGATCTTGATGGAAATGTAAAATGATCACATATGAACAGTAAATTCTAAGGTAAAATTTTACAGAAGCAATATCAGGAGAAAGTTTCCCTATTAATGTTTGCATTTTTCTCTGAGGATTTGCACAGGAGTTAGGATACAAGTAGTCTGGGTCAAATTGTCCAAAGGTATTTGAAAGCTTAAAAATGATGAGGGATCAAAGAGGGATTTTAAAATACTGTAAGTCATTTAGATGCAGTGGTTGCAGTGGTTCTTCATTGGACGTCAGAATATGAAGGCCAACCACAAACRGCTTACAAGAAAGGTAAAACCTTCAAAACACAAATGGAGGCATTCTGACATGAGAGGAGGAGTTTCCCTAGTCACAGCTTTGCTGAGGCCTTTGGATTATTCAGAGGGAGCTCTGAAGATTAAAATACAATGAGGTTGTTTGAAAGACATGAAGTTATGGTACATGATAAGTGAATGAGCAGAGACTAAAATGTGGGTGAAAGCCATATGAGGAATTAACAACAACAAGCATACTTTTCATTTGCCAGAAGACTGGAAATTGCATCAAGGTTTTTATTTTTCATGTGTAATATTTCTGTTACATCTACTTATAGCAACATGCATGTTAATAGTGCTACGTTATATATCATAAGATATAAATTATATTTCTATATTATCTGCTTAGTACTTAGCAACTACAGCTGAATGTGTAAAATCTACTACTGTCCACAAGCCAAAGTCCATTGTGAACAGTCAGACTTTTTTTTTACTGTGCTGTGTTAAATCCTGGTTTGGGACTGCAGTTTGAGAGGCCAAGTATGACTAATTCCTGAATCAAGTGGCTAGATGAAGACGGGAGGGCCCAGAGCTGTCTTACATGAACCTGACAAAATGTTCCTTATTGTAATTGCTTAGATTACTTTCTATTCATAGCTCATGAAAGAGTTTTCAAATACTTCTGACAGGATCCTGGAAAAAATTTAGCTGGAACCAACAGTCTCTAAACAAATCTGCCTGTGTCTTCTAGGCCTAAGCCCTATGGAAAGGTGGGACCAAAATGTACTAATGTTGACTCTCAGTGGCTCGTTAAGCTTTGGACTGCTCCCAAGCACCAGTCTTCTCTCTTCTGCATCCCCATTTCCCAGATATTTCTGAGTGTAATTTCTAACATTTCAGTAATTTTGAGGCCAGAGAGATAGCTGTGACCATCTGGTCTGCACTGTTGAATGATAGTGGTTAAGCAATCTGCTCAGCAATCACTGTTTTAAACACTGTAGGAGTGCGTGAATAGATTATGGGAAGACATCAGCTCTTCGTTTAAAATATGAGTATTGATCCATTGCATCTATGAACAGATTGTGTCATCTGTTGCACGTGTGGCATTCTCTTATTTCAAGCCCGTACTGCTGTTGCAGCACTCATCTCACCGGTGTCTAGTGGTGCACACCTGCAACTTTGGGAGCTCCCAGTCACTCATTCTGTATTTGACAGCCAAGGAATAGTGTCCAGGATTTAGAGTCCAGGGCTGCATTAGAAATTTGTGTTTTGGAAGAGAATTCTAATAAAGTAGTAAGTGTAACACATGTTAGGTTTGGATTTTCTGTTTCAGAAAAAGAGCTGATTGTAATAAACGTCTTCCTCCAATCCCTACATTTCTTTTTATCTATTTTCACAGTTCTAGGAGCCCCTAATTCGTGGAAGCAATGGCTATGTGACATTGCTTTGAGGCACTTGGAAGTATTAAAAGTCTGATTTTTCCAATGTTTTAAATTTCAGTTCTTAGCAGAATAGGAGAGGGTGAACTTTTTCTCTAACTGTATGCCTGAAGCAGATTCATTGCAGTTATGTGTGTACCTGATTAAATTCCCTGTTTTGCTGTGAGCATCTGCAAGGTCTGTGCCTCTGTACAGCCTTAGTGTAGTTTTCCCTCTTTGCATGAAATGTTAATTCTATAAACAGTTTCTGTCCCATTGAAA